ACTTTGGGAAATTTTCATACTCATATTCCAAGAACTGGATTTTATATTTATTTCTAAAAAATGTATTCATTTCTTGTATCATTAAAATATTTAAATATACGTAGACAACCCAAATGACACATACTTAAATCATTTATGGTAAATTTGCGAAAGATATTTTGTAGTTTAACCAACTCTATATCTGCTGCAATTTTCAGTTAACTATATCAGACCCATTATTATGGAAAGCAAAATAAACAACGGTTATTACTACTAATAAACATTTAATGTTTTAATATTACTAATTATAAACTTAATAATAATAAATTTACTACAATTTTCTTATAAATCCTATTTTTAATTACTCTGATTAGATAGTAACTTAACTCCTTTATTATCATATATTTTAGCAATAATTAACCCTTCGGTATTAATTCCACAATAAATAAAAATTAAGCAACATATAAAAATGAAAATGTACAAGCAAAATATAGCCATAATGGCCATTTGATGGCGTCAGTCATCACTTGACGACTCATTTCTTGGGACATGTTTATTTTTCATGTTTCTTCCGAGTTTTCTTGACTTATTCGAAACTTTTTTTGGTTCATCCTCACTTTCTGAAGTATTTTTTGATTCTTTCCCTTTTTTATAACAAACATCTTCGTCTTCTTCATCAAAACGTTGTCTCTTTTTCTTACTCTCATAATGCTTTTTATTCGTCGGAGAACTTCCAGTTGAATATCCAGTATCTTTACGAGGATTTTTTAACTTTTTATGCCGAGGTTTTTCAAAAGACTCTTCTTCAGAATCACTTACATCCCGTTGATTTCTTTTGTTCTGCCGAGCAGATGATGACTTATTCGATTTATTAATTTTCTTTTTTTTAGTAATTTTACAATTTTCATCTTTTGAAATAATAGAAATACTGGTTAATTCAAAATCTTCCGTTACCCTTTTCTTTTTACGTTGCTTTTTACTTTCACTATAAACAACCTGAAGTCTGTATAATTGTAGAATGATCACCAACGTGTTTTTACAAGTGAAAAAAATATTCATGTACGAAATAATATTAAAATGGGTTATTAATAATAATCGAAAAACTAGAAATGGGGCGTCTTGTAATGTTATGTTAATTACTATGCCGCAAACGTCGATTCCACAACAATAATTATTTGTACTAAAAATATAAATTAATAATTTGAAATTGTTTTTAATACAGTAAAATCTCGATATAACAGATTAATACGGGGAAGGAATCTAGAGAAGTGCTATATTTTGGGATCAGGTGAACAGCTCGAAGGGCCGTTCGTGACGTCACGGATAGATAAGCAATAAATGCTTAATTTATTCCATTCGTGTTTTGTAATGTTGTTAGTTTAGACTTAAAGTTCATAATATAAAATAAAGATCTTGATCGAGGTTAGCCGAGCGTGTCTTAAGACGGCTAAAGTCGAATGTTTCTAGTTCTAGCTCGTGTTATTTCTAGTTTTCGTTTAATAAAAATATCCAACAATATAACGCTGAATAACACAAATAATAAAAAAAGTTGGTAACGTTAATTGGGCTGTGTTCAAAAACTATTATCTCAGGAATGAATAGAGATTTTCAAGTTTCGGCTTTGTTCATGAAAAAGAGCATACATTTCGCTATAAGTTCCGAAAATTTCATTAAGATATGTTAAGAATTCGATTTTTCATGATTTTTTCAAAATAATGAAAAAAGTTGGTAACGTCATTAATTGAGGCTGAGTTCAAAAATTATTATCTCAGGAACCAATAGAGATTTTCAAGTGCGGCTTTGTTCATGAAAAAGACCATACATTCCGCTATAAGTTTCAAAAATTTCATTAAGAAATGTTAAGAATTCGATTTTTCGTGATTTTTTCAAAATTAATCAAATAGTTGGTAACGTTATTAATTGAGGTTGAATTCAAAAGCTATTATCTCAGGAACGAATAGAGATTTTCAAGTGCGGCTTTGTTCATGAAAAAGATCCTACGTTTCGTTATAAGTTCTAAAAATTTCATTAAGAAATGTTAAGAATTCGATTTTTCATGATTTTTTCAAAACAATGAAAAAGGTTCGCAACGTTATAAATTGAGGTTGAGTTCAAAAACTATTATCTCAGGAACGAATAGAGATTTTCAAGTGAGGCTTTGTTCATGAAAAAGATCATACGTTTTACTACAAGTTCCGAAAATTTCATTAAAAAATGTTAAGAATTTGATTTTTCATGATTTTCTCAAAATAATGGAAAAAGTTGGTAACGTTATTGATTGAGGTTGAGTTCAAAGACTATTATCTCAGGAACGAATAGAGATTTTGAAGTGCGGCTTTATTCATGAAAAAGATCATACGTTTCGCTATAAGTTCTGAAAATTTCATTAAGAAATGTTAAGAATTCGATTTTTTATGATTTTTTCAAAATCCTATTAAGTGGAACCATGGCTGACCTATTTATGGATGATCTAAAGAAAAATTATATTATCAACAATAACAATCCTTATCTTACAGAAATCATAACATGGATAAGATCGTCGATGACGTTCTGGTTTTTATTAAAGATGAACATCAGATCAACAACCTTCACGAATACATAAATTGGCTGCACCCCAAAATTAATTTTACAGTGGAAACTGAAATCGAAAACAAGATCAATTTTCTCGATTTCACACTTGAACGTTGTCAAAATAAAATAAAATTTGATATATACAGAAAACCTACCCAAACCAGTGGATACTATTATACCATATGATTCGTACCACGATCACAACCAAAAATGTGCAGCTTTTAGATCGTACATACATAGAGTCTTCACCTCGAATCTAGAATAACAAGAAATACAAAAGGAATTCCAAATTATCAAACAAATTACTACCAAAAATGGTTTTTCACACCAACAAATTCAAAGACTTACTGCAAAAATACAAAGGAAACTTGACTTAGAAAAAACAGCTTCTCTTCACGACAACACAAAAAACGCAGAAACTACTTACAGATCGACTAACTTCCCGGGAGACCTTTCCTACAAAATCAAAGGAATATTTCACAATAACAATATAATAATGTCTTTCACGAACAAGAACACCATTAGAAACTTGTTGGTTAACAACAAAGACAGAACACCTCTATTATCCAAGAGTGGAGTTTATAGACAATAAATTAATAAATTATCACCAAAGTATCATTACATAATTTTCCTTTTAAAATATTAACACATGGTGAAAATGGATATATCCTATTACAATTATTGTAGAAATTGAGGTTGAGTCCAAAAACTATTATCTCAGGAGCGAATAGAGATTTTCAAGTGCGGCTTGGTTCATGAAAAAGATCATACGTTTCGCTATAAGTTCCGAAAATTGCATTAAGAAATCTTAAGAATTCCAATTTTCATGGTTTTTTCAAAATAATGAAAAAAGTTAGTAACGTCACAAATTGAGGTTGAGTTCAAAAACTATTATCTCTGGAACGAATAGAGATTTTCAAGTGTGGCTTTGTGCATGATAAAGATCATACGTTTCACTATAAGTTCTGAAAAATTCATTAAGAAATGTTAAGAATTAGATCTTTCATGATTTTTTCAAAATAATAAAAAAAGTTGGTAACGTTATAAATTGAGGTTGAGTTTAAAAACTATTATCTCAGGAACGAATAGAGATTTTCAAGTGCGTCTTTGTTCATGAAAAAGATCATACGTTTCGCTACAAGATCCGAAAAATTCATTAAGAAATGTTAAGAATTCGATTTTTTATGATTTTTTCAAAATAATAAAAAAAAATTGGTAACGTTATTAATTATCTCAGGAATGAATAGAGATTTTCAAGTGCGGCTTTATTCATGAAAAAGATCATACGTTTCGTTATAAATTCTAAAAATTTCATTAAGAAATCTTAAAAATTCGATTTTTCATGATTTTTTCAAAATAATGAAACAAATTGGTAATATTTTGCCCGTTATATCGAGGTTTTACTGTAATTTGAAGTAGTTTACTTAATCGAAGACGCTGTAGTTAATCTCGACTTTCTTGATTTAGTGGCTGTTAAAACAACGGTGAATTGGAGTAAACTCCAAGACCAAATACTGAGAGTTAAAAGTACTAAAATTGGGTGCATTGCTACTTTTTCGTCTTTAAAAGAGTCGAAAAATTCAATTATATCAGCTGCAGTGCCTAAAATAAATCCAAAAACTTCTTTAAACCCAAAAAATAAATAAATAAACAAATAACAACCGATATAAACAAGCAACAATTGACTTAATTGATCCCTAGTCAATTCTCCTTTAGGTAACATCCACCGTCCAATGATTAAAATTAACATCAAAAACTGTTCAATAACTGTAATCCATGTTTCAGTGCTTAAATTTATTTCAGGGAGCTCAATTTCAACCTAAAAATATTTTTTTTATGAACAAAAAAGTAACATTTAAGCAAATACCCCAATTAAATTGTTGAGTTCTTTAAGATTTTCTTTTGTGTTTAAAGTTACATTAAGAAAATCACCCTTTATCTTATGGTTCTTATCGATTTTTTCTAATTCCAATAACCAAATCGAAGGGATGACGCTTAATAAGTAAAGGAAAACCGACGGGCAGAACCTAAAAAGGATTCCTTAAGAGCTTCCGAAAATTGATCGTTTTTCAAATGGGACAAAACATAACCGGAAATGAACTTGTCAATCGCCAAGAGCTTTTAAGCTAATAATCTCTACAGATATGAATAACCAAGGAATAAAAACAAATCATAACTAAAGTAAAAAAATTAATCTAATTTAAAAATAATAATAACTTACCATTTCCACTCTTGAGTTTCTTTAATAGCTAACGTAAAAAGCCCTTCGAAAAACAACAAGATAATCGGTGAACTTAAATACCAATAAAAATAATTTTTTTTAAACAAAGTAACTTGCCAAATTGCTATAAAACCATGCCCGGCAAACACTAATCGTGTAAATATAGCCTTTAAAATGGCTAAAAGTGTACCCATATTAATAAAATTTCCAATTTTATTCTCAAAACAACTTTTTCATTTAAACCTAAAGCTGCCTATTTTAGAATTAAGTTGTAGATGGCGTTCAATGTCAAATTGGAAACTCGGTCGGTACATTCGGTAATGTTCGTGTAATATCGGCACCCATCTGACATATCCGAAACATTTGACGTCATCGCGTTAACCTTAAAATCCCTGACATGACGTTTATTATCATCGTTTTTCGAAAAATCGCTGTTTACAAGCGATTTCTTACAGCCTATCACGTGTTTACCGATTGAAATGTATACATACTTATCTAGACTTCTATAAAAGAAGGTATTATACGCTCGGTGCATCGTTAAAACGTAAGTAAATAAGGTTTTTTTGTATACTTATTAATAATTAACAAATTTCGTTCGGTTTTTAGTTATGGATACGACAGCTATTGGGTGGGCTGTGCTTATTTTCGTTTTATTTCTTAGTACATTTGGGCTGTGTACTTGTTTAACTTTGATTATCGGTTTAATTTTCTTTTTAATTGGGTAAACTTTGCATTAATGTTTTTTTAATTTTTATTTATTAATTTTCTTTTTTAGTTTATTATCGTTACTTTATATTCAAGAAGGAGATGTTGATAAATTTTATAGGAATTGTATTGGAAATCCTTTATCTAATGAAAATAATATAGAAGGAGGTTTATCAAAAGTTGCTAAACAACTTTTAACACCTAAAGAAATTCAAAAAGCAGATAATCGTGTTACGGGAAGTGATGTTATTGATAGTTCCTTACAAGAGATATTGGGTTACATTATTAGGGATCATATTACCCCTTGGTATGGGTTAATTTCTACAGATAGCGAATTTTCTGAAAGATCTGTAAGGAAAACTGCACAAACTCTCGCTATAAACATTTCAAACAGGTTGATTTATTAATTTTTTATCACATAAAAATTAATTTATTGTTTGTTTAGGGTAAAAGAAGTAGATTGGATACCGTTTTTAACAACTCGCTTGGTAGATGATGCTGCTAGTCATTTAAGACTTTTCAAACAAGCTAGGGTGAAATTAAAACAAGATGAAATACCAAAATCACCTAGAAATTCTCCTAGGAGGGAAGTTAGGACTCCTAAAAAGACTCATAAAAGAAATAAAAGTGAAACTGATGCAAATTGGCATTATGTCAATAAAAATTCTCTTGATTGTAAAGGTATTTTAAAAAATTATTTTGAATGTAAATATTTTTATGAATTTAATAATTTTTAGAAGTAGAACAGGCGCATGGAAACAATAAGTTTTATACAAAGGACCAAACTAGAAAAAATTGTAGTTTGGAGGATTATTTTTTTGAGCTTGAATTTACTATGGAGAAGAATTTGGTGTGTAGAGATTCTATTTCCATTAATATTGATAAAGAGAAAGGTTAAATATTCTTTTTACTATTTGTTTTAATCTAATTTATTAATTATTTTTAGAATTCTTGTGTGAACTCATGGAAATTTTACTTTATATTCTTTTACCAGATGATGATTTTCAATGTAAACCAATTCGTTTTATAATAAGGGAGATCTTTGCTAATTGTGTTGTTTATCCAGTTTTTACAATGATTTCAGATCCTGATTATATTAATCAGGCTATAGTTTGGCTGGTAAAATTTATTACATTATTTTAACCTTCATAAGGCCTTCATTCAATTTTTATAATAATTAAAAATAAAATAAAAAATACTGAACAAACTAATATAACATTCTTGAAGATCTGTTTGGCTCAATTGCATAAGTTGGTTGTTAGCTTTATTGGTGATCAATTGAAAATTCTAAATTTAGCAATCAATGCCATTCTCTTATACAGAACCCATTGTTTAAACAAAATGAGCATATCACAAGTCAACCCATAAACTTTTGAAGTCATTACTACATTACTTATGAATATTTATTCAACACATAGCCATTGATCCAGATTGTACGCCTTTTTACAATTTAATCCAAACGTTGCAAATACTTCCTAAATTGAAATTGGCTTATAATACAATATAATGTAATATTTGTTTAAACCTAGTATGCGACAATACTGACAATAACTAATAATTCTGACAGTAGCTGATCCAAGAGGGTGAGAAAAGGCTGCTTCTTAGCTCTATAATACATCATTCAGCTTTTTATTGCTGTGAGCAGATCCGAAAATAAAGTCTAAACGAAAGAATACTTCTAGTAGTTCTTTGATTATAAATACAAAAGGTTTCCTCATTTCAGATTCGTCATTGTTCAGTGTTCATCACTGACACCACCACCTCTGGTGGGTCTTGGCCTGTTCTAGGATCAGCTTCTATCTGGTGCCTTGCAGTTTCTAAGTCCAAGCATTTTTAGATTTTCTTCCACCTGGCCCTTATATCTGCTTCAAGGCGTGTCTCTACGTTGAAAATGTTTTTGTCTTCATAATTTTCCCGTATTTGTGACTATTTTTCTTGCAATTAATTAAACACAAATGTTCAATCCAACAATTTTCCAGTTCGTCAGCTTTAGTTTGAAGCAGTTTGAATCGTTGGTTGAAATCATCAAATTTGGTTCTATTGCGGAATTCGATCGTTCGTAACTATCCACTATTTTGTCTCTTTCCTTCCAAATCACACACACAATCGATTCACAAGCAGATTCATTTCCCTGCACAATTCAGTTTATTTCTTTCCACTCTGCAACTTGCCATCATAAAGGCAGCTTTAATTTTTAATGTGTTAAACTATTCTCGCGTTACTCTTGTAACCAAACATTCAATAATAACCTTTGTGGGCGATTCAGTAGAAATTTAAATAATAACTTGAATATTGAGATAGTCACCTACGGATCATGATACTACAGTTTTATTGTTCTAAGTGTAAGTAATATTAATGCGTTTAATCTCTGGTGAGATAAGCACAACGCCAACTCTAAAAATGGATGTTCTGCTTGGTCTATCTCTTTTGCATTTGCACATAGAGAAAGTGGCTAGAACTACCATTTATAGGTTTAAGCAATATGCTCAAAACCCCTAAAATTCGTTCAACTTCGTGTGAGTCGGGGATTCCCACAACCGTAGGTGTATTAGCTTATTCATATAACACAATTAACCGACTACTAGAAATAACTCCTTTTTCCATACAAACAAAAAGCCCTAGATTCGGGATAAATCCCTACATAAAGCAACATTGCATTGCAGTCCTAACCTCGCTCTTTGCTATTAAGTTTTAGTCAATCATATTAGAGACGTTTTATGTCTCATGTTCGATCAGGCCATTTTTTAAAATACGGCCGGATACCGGATAGTTACCAAATATCCGACTTGGCCGGATATTAAAAACTTATTACTTAGTACTGCACCATTCACAGGAATTAGTATCTCTTTTAGGTGTTGAACACTGCAGATAATAATCAAGTTCAACCCCAACAGGACTTTTTTCGTTGAATACAACTTTATTTATATCCACCAATTATTAATTAAAGTATCCTCTTTTTAATGCAACAAGCCGTTTTGAAAAATCACTTTCAGTTCTTGAGAAATAAATTTTTGAAATGAACGACAATTTTTTCGAATTTTGCAATTTTCGCAGATTAAGTTTTAAAAATTCGTAGAAAATCGATTTCTTGGAATAGGAGTATGGAAATTTCCCAAAATGTTAATAAAAGTGTGTTCTTTCCAATGAACTAACCCATTTTGAAAAATAACTCTTAGTTTTTGAGAAAACAATATTTGAAGTTTTGATAAAATTATCGATGTTGCAATTTTCATCGATAACTTTCAAAATTCGCTATAAAATTCATTTCTTGACAGATCCTTGTGGAAATATCACCAATTATTAATTAAAGTATCCTCTTTTTAATGCAAAAAGCCGTTTTGAAAAATCACTTTCAGTTCTTGAGAAAAAAAATTTTGAAATGAACGACAATTTTGTCGAATTTTGCAATTTCCGCACATTAAGTTTTAAAAATTCGTGTAAAATCCAGTTCTTGGAATATGAGTATGAAAATTTCCCAAAGTGTTAATAAAAGTGTCCTCTTTCCAACGAACCAACCCATTTTAAAAAATAGCTTTTAGTTTTTGAAAAAACAATATTTGAAGTTTTGATAAAATTATCGATGTTGCAATTTTCATCGATAATTTTCAAAATTCGCTATAAAATTAATTTCTTGAAGGATCCTTGTGGAAATATCACCAATTATTAATAAAAGTATCCTCTTTTTAATGCAAAAAGCCATTTTGAAAAATCACTATCAATTCTTGAGAAATAAATTTTTGAAATAAACGACAATTTTTCCGAATTTTGCAATTTTAGCAGATTAAGTTTTAAAAATTCGTGTAAAATCCAGTTCTTGGAATATGAGTATGAAAATTTCTCAAAGTGTTAATAAAAGTGTCTTCTTTCTAATGAACCAACCCGTTTTGAAAAGTTGCTTTTAGTTTTTTAGAAAACAATATTTGAAGTTTTGATAAAATTATCGATGTTGCAATTTTCATCGCTAATTTTCAAAATTCGCTATAAAATTAATTTCTTGAAGGATCCTTGTGGAAATATCATCAATTATTAATTAAAGTATCCTCGTTTTAATGCAACAAGCTGTTTTGAAAAATCACTTTCAGTTCTTGAGAAATAAATTTTTGAAATGAGCGACAATTTTTTCGAATTTTGCAATTTTCGCAGGTTAAGTTTTAAAAATTCGTGTAAAATCCAGTTCTTGGAATATGAGTATGAAAATTTCTCAAAGTGTTAATAAAAGTGTCCTCTTTCCAACGAACCACCCATTTTAAAAAGTAGCTTTTAGTTTCTGAAAAAACAATATTTGAAGTTTTTATCAAATTTTCGATGTTGCAATTTTCATCGATAACTTTCAAAATTCGCTATAAAATTCATTTCTTGAAGGATCCTTGTGGAAATATCACCAATTATTAATTAAAAATTCTCTTTTTAGAGTTTCAGAAGTTCATTTTTATTCAAATAGTTTAGTATTTTCAAAATACAAGATAAGTTACTAAAAGTATCTTAAATAAAGTACAAAATACTTTTAGTGGAATGGTATTTGAAATAGTAAATACGTATTTTGTATTTATATTTTGAATACTTGTATTTCAAATAAGTCACATCTCTGGTAATTAGTATATTCGAATACAATCCTTCTGGTTGCAAACATTGAATTCACAACGTTTTATAAATTCTCAAAATAAGCTATTTATAGCAATAGAAAATGATCTTCATCCTCCTCAAGAACAAACAATCCAACACATTTCCAAAAGCACTGCAAATAAATTACAAATTAATTTTCTGAGTTATATTTATACCCCGCCGGTCTTATGAAGGTTAATTATAATTAATTAGTTCCTCTCAAATGAATACATTTGTTATATGAATAATAATTTATAATTTTATTTTATTTAATAGTGTTTAAGAGATACTTCATTACCAAGCGATATGTTTTTAACAACTCTAAGAATAACAGACAATTGTGATGAATTAAAATACGCAAGGGAAATTGTACAAAAAGAAATACAAATTTTGGTACTTAAATAATTAATTCAACCGATTAAATATTAATGATTTTTTTTGTAGCGTTCGCGCGATTCTGGTGGTGACAGCGATTTATCCATAAAACAACAATTAAGCAGCTTATATTACGTAACAAAATTAATTGATAATCGTCTCTCAAAATTAGCTAACAATCAGGATACATCCCAAGATCTCCCGTTACCTTTAGAAAATATAAAAACTATCGATTTACCATTACATTTTATCTTGGCAAATAGCGTCGCTTTATCATATTTTATAGATTTCGTTTCTCTGCAAGATAAACACCTTTTATTATTCTTTTATTTAAATATTGAAGGCTGGAAAATCTCGGTTGAGCAACAATTAAGTAACGTTCATATAAATAAAATAAAAGGGGTCAATGATAATTCAAATGCGATTTTCGAAACGATTCGTGCCACGGCTTTGAGTCTTTATGATCAATATTTAGGCGATCGGAAAGAACAAAAACTTGATATTAATGCGGGATTAGTGCATAAATTATATTTTAAAATAAAAAATGTTTCCGAAGAACCAACCGAGTTATGGTTCGATGATATTCAAACTCAAATTTACGAAAAATTAAAAACCGAAGATGATTATTTACCTTCGTTTAAAAAAAGTCGATCTTATATTAAGCTTTTAGAAGAATTGGAATTGCTACAACAACCCGCCGAAGAAGATTCGGTAAGTTTGAATAGTCTTGAAGGTTTAGAAGATGAAAAAATAAATCAAGAACAAGAAAGAAAACAGACAAAGTTAAATAACAGCGGAGATGTTCTTTTGGTACAACCTGAAAAAAGTATGAAACACGTACGATCATTAAGTGATGTTTCCGATTTTGCATTAAGAAATGATCGATTTGAAAATACTCCAACCCCAGAAGTATCGTTAAAAAAAAATTTGGAGGATGACTCAATGGTTCAAAGTGTCGAGGAGAAAAGTAAAGATTTACGAATCGGCGATTTTGTGCTTAACGTTAATATTATCGAAACTGGAATTGTTTGTGAAAAGGGAAAAACATTTGGTATTTATGCCGTACATGTCAGTAGGCAGTACACAAATGGTTTTTTGGATGAATGGCATATTTATAGGAGATATAGTGATTTTCATGATTTATGTACAAAAGTTAAAGACAAGGTAAATTAATTAATTTCAAACAATATCATTTCGATTTAGTACTATATAATAAATTCATATTTTTTTAGTTTCCTGATTTATCAAAAATTCCATTCCCAGGCAAAAAGACATTCCATAATATGGACCGTGCTGTATTAGAACGTCGCATGCAAATGTTAGGATATTATATGAAAAGTTTGTGTCAAGAATACACCGTAAAATCGCATCATGGTCTTAGAGAATTACTTATGACATTTTTGGAACAAGGAGAATATGACAGACAAGCATCTGGTGGTCCTATTTCACATACAGTAATAAATTAATAATTTAATTCAGTAAAACTTCGATATAACGGACTTTGGATATTCTGTCTTCAAACGCACTGCAAAACCCGAATGTTTCTAGTTCTAGGTCTAATGTTAATTCTAGTTTTAATTGTTATTCAGCGTTATTGGAACTAACGCTGGACTTAGAACAAGAAACGTTCGGGTTTTGAAAAAATCATGAAAAATCGAATTATTAAGATTTCTTAATGAAATTATGGGAACTTATAGCGAAACGTACGATTTTTTTCATGAACAAAGCCGCACTTGAAAATCTCTATTCGTTCCTGAGATAATAGTTTTTGAACTCAACCTCAATTTATAACGTTGAAAATTATTTTCGTTATTTTGAAGAAATCATGAAAAATCGAATTCTTAAGATTTCGTAATGAAATTTTCGGAGCTTATAGCGAAACGTATGATCTTTTTCATGAACAAAGCCGCACTTGAAAATCTCTATTGGTTCCTGAGATAATAGTTTTTGAACTCAACCTCAATTTGTAACGTTGAAAATTATTTTCGTTATTTTGAAAAAATCATGAAAAATCGAATTAAGATTTCATAATGAAATTTTCGGAGCTTATAGCGAAACGTATGATCTTTTTCATGAACTTAAAAATCTCTATTCGTTCCTGAGATAATAGTTTTTATCCACAATCACCTTATAATTGAAGTTTTATCCACACTTATGAACCGTATAAAGTACTACTTTAAATCAATCACATCCTATTTATTATTTATATTAACATTTATATTAATAGACATTTCATTCTTTGATTTGTCATATTTTACTTCCTTTCCATTAATAACCTGTTTGTAATTGTCATCGCTTCCATAACGCATCGATGTTTTTGAAAGATCTGTAGAAACAATGGACGTTTCCTCTAGTAAGGAACGACTAGTACCAGTATAAGCTTGGATTTTTCTTGCGATATCAAGTTTATTATATATAGAATCCTCGATATAAGTTTCTGCTATGCCAGAGCTCCTCCACCCACCATGTCGTTTAATTATTGTAAAGTGGGCACCTTTATTGGCAAGTAAAGTTGTTGAAGTGCGCCTCATACAATGGCCACTATAAGTTTTTGCATTTGGCAGATTCAAAAACCAAGCAGCTGTTGAAGGAACTTTCGACAAAGTGTTAATTCCAACAGGTTGTGAAGTACATTTTTGATTAGCGTATTTACTCGTCTCCACAGTATTGATAGAAAATCCTTCTTCTATAACTGTAAATTTTCGTGAAATACCTGTCTTGGTATCTGATATCGAAACAATCAAATATGCGCCCCTATTTTCTATATCTCTAATTTTCAAATTAGTCAGTTCATAGCATCGACAAGCACCAGACACCCCCATTATTAGTGCAACCTAATATATTTCAAAATTTTGTTATATATAATATCCAAAAGGTTAAGAGAGATTAGCTTGATCATCAAATATTCTTTATCGCAAGCCCTTGTCAAAAACTCTTCGACGTGTGTTCTTTCCAACACTTTGACTGATTCTCCAAATAGGCTATGAACTTACTATATTTTCCTATGTCTATGTTTTTATAGACCTTTATAGCGGCTTTCAGCATCGAATACTTCGACCACATGGATGAAATAGCATACCTCTTCTTCAAATTTAGAAATGCGATAGCAAGACTTCCTCATTTATTGTTATTACCCCCCGTTTTCCCCGTTTTTTTTAGTTAATTGCAACAATGATTTTTGAGGTGACAGCCGCTGTCAGAGTGAAATGTCAAATCATTTTTTGATAACATCAGATAAAATTTTGGCGATTCTGATTCTAAATGAGTGTGATTGTAGATAAAACGTTGTATTGCATGCGTGTTTTAGATTCGTTCGTGAGATAATAGTTTTTGAACTCAACCTCAATTAGTAACGTTGCCAATTTTTTTCATTATTTTGAAAAAATCATGAAAAATCGAATTCTTAAGATTTCTTAATGAAATTTTCGGAACTTATAGCGAAACGTATGACCTTTTTCATGAACAAAGCCGCACTTGAAAATCTCTATTCGTTCCTGAGATAATAGTTTTTGAACTCAACCTCAATTTATAACGTTGCCAATTTTTTTCATTATTTTGAAAAAATCATGAAAAATCGAATTCTTAAGATTTCTTAATGAAATTTTCGGAGCTTATAGCGAAACGTATGATCTTTTTCATGAACAAAGCCGCACTTTAAAATCTCTATTTGTTCCTGAGATAATAGTTTTTGAAGTCAACCTCAATCTATAAGGTTACCAACTTTTTTAATTATTTTGAAAACATCATAAAAAATCGAATTCTTAAGATTTCTTAATGAAATTTTCGGAACTTATAGCGAAACGTATGATTTTTTTCATGAAGAAAGCCGCACTTGAAAATCTCTATTCATTCCTGAAATAATAGTTTTTAAACTCCACCTAAATTTATAACGTTACCAATTTTTATCATTATTTTGAAAAAGATCATGAAAAATTGAATTCTCAAGATTTCATAATGAAATTATCGGAACTTATAGTGAAACGTATGATCTTTTTCATGAACAAAGCCGCACTTAAAAATCTCTATTCGTTCCTGAGATAATAGTTTTTATCCACAATCACCTTATAATTGAAGTTTTATCCACACTTATGACCGTATAAAGTACCACTTTAAATCAATCACATTCTATTTATTATTTATATTAATAGATATTTCATTCGTTGATTTGTCATATTTTACTTCCTTTCCATTAATAACCAGCTTGTAATTGTCATCGCTTCCAGAACGCATAGTGCCTGTCGATGTTTTTGAAAAATCTGTAGAAACAATGGACGTTTCCTCTAGTAAGGAACGACTAATAGCAGTAGAACCTTGGATTTTTCTTGCGATATCAAGTTTATTACATATAGAATCCTCGATATAAGTTTCTGCTATGCCAGAGCTCCTCCACCCACCATGTCGTTTAATTATTGTAAGGTGGGCACCTTTATTGGCAAGTAAAGTTGTTGAAGTGCGCCTCATACAATGGCCGCTATAAGCTTTTGCATTTGGCAGATTCAAAAACGAAGCAGCTGTTGAAGGAACTTTCGACAAAGTGTTAATTCCAACAGGTTGTGAAGTACATTTTTGATTAGCATATTTACACGTCTCCACAGTATTGATAGAAAATCCTTCTTCTATAATTGTAAATTTTCGTGAAATACCTGTCTTGGTATCTGATATCGAAACAATCAAATATGCGCCCCTATTTTCTATATCTCTAATTTTCAAATTAGTCAGTTCATACCATCGACAAGCACCAGACACCCCCATTATTAGTGCAACCTAATATATTTCAAAATTTTGTTATATATAATATCCAAAAGGTTAAGAGAGATTAGCTTGATCATCAAATATTCTTTATCGCAAGCCCTTGTCAAAAACTCTTCGACGTGTGTTCTTTCCAACACTTTGACTGATTCTCCAAATAGGCTATGAGCTTACTATATTTTCCTATGTCTATGTTTTTATAGACCTTTATAGCGGCTTTCAGCATCGAATACTTCGACCACATGGATGAAATAGCATACCTCTTCTTCAAATTTAGAAATGCGATAGCAAGACTTCCTCATTTATTGTTATTACCCCCCGTTTTCCCCGTTTTTTTTAGTTAATTGCAACAATGATTTTTGAGGTGACAGCCGCTGTCAGAGTGAAATGTCAAATCATTTTTTGATAACATCAGATAAAATTTTGGCGATTCTGATTCTAAATGAGTGTGATTGTAGATAAAACGTTGTATTGCATGCGTGTTTTAGATTCGTTCGTGAGATAATAGTTATTGAACTCAACCTCAATTAGTAACGTTGCCAATTTTTTTCATTATTTTGAAAAAATCATGAAAAATCGAATTCTTAAGATTTCTTAATGAAATTTTCGGAACTTATAGCGAAACGTATGATCTTTTTCATGAACAAAGCCGCACTTTAAAATCTCTATTGGTTCCTGAGATAATAGTTTTTGAACTCAACCTCAATTTATAACTGCCAATTTTTTTCGTTATTTTGAAAAAACCATGAAAAATCGAATTCTTAACATTTTTTAATGAAATTTTCGGAACTTATAGCGAAACGTATGATCTTTTTCATGAACAAAGCCGCACTTGAAAATCTCTATTCGTTCCTGAGATAGTAGTTTTTGAACTCAACCTCAATTAATGACGTTACCAACTTTTTCATTATTTTGAAAAAATCATGAAAAATCGAATTCTTAACATTTCTTAATGAAATTTTCGTAACTTATAGCGAACCGTATGATTTTTTTCATGAACAAAGCCGCACTTGAAAATCTCTATTCCTTCCTGAAGTAATAAGGTGTAGCTGATTGATAGAAATAGGCTTTGTATACATCTTTAAATTTCTGAATCGAAGTCTCTTTTAATTCTTGGCTTCATCTTGTCATATCAAAAACTTCTATCTTATGCCGCGAATCGAGAATTAAAACTGCAGCATATATCTAATTAGTTTTACGATAATCCTTTAATATTTTGTCTTTCGCAGCCTGAAAACCAACAATAAGCTGCTCTGCGACAGCGTTTCGATCTGCCTTTCGGTCCCATGCAAATATTTTGCTCTCAGTATTATCTATTAGTATATTGATACATACAACGACCATAGGTAATTTGACGTACTTCCCTCCTCCGAGTTTCTTGGAAAGTATTTGAAAGTCGACTAGTAATTTATACACTTCTTCTAACAGTCTCGAAAACGAGACGAGACGGCACACCACTAATCTCTATGCCTTCCTGAGATAATAGTTTTTGAACTGAACCTCAATTTATAAAGTTACCACCTTTCTTCATTATTTTGAAAAAATCATGAAAAATCGAATTCTTAAGATTTCGTAATGAAATTTTCGGAACTTATAGCGAAACGTATGATCTTTTTCATGAACAAAGCCGCACTTGAAAATCTCTATTCGTTCCCGAGATAATAGTTTTTAAACTCAACCTCAATTTATAACGTTGCCAATTTTTTTCATTATTTTGAGAAAATCATAAAAAATAGAATTCTTAACATTTCTTAATGAAATTTTCAGAACTTATAGCGACACGTATAACCTTTTTCATGAACAAAGCCGCACTTGAAAATCTCTATTCGTTCCCGAGATAATAGTTTTTGAACTCAACCTCAATTTATAACGTTGCCAATTTTTTTCATTATTTTGAGAAAATCATGAAAAATTGAATTCTTAACATTTCTTAATGAAATTTTCAGAACTTATAGCGACACGTATAACCTTTTTCATGAACAAAGCCGCACTTGAAAATCTCTATTCGTTCCCGAGATAATAGTTTTTGAACTCAACCTCAATTTATAACGTTGCCAATTTTTTTCATTATTTTGAAAAAATCATGAAAAATCGAATTCTTAAGATTTCTTAATGAAATTTTCGGAACTTATAGCGAAACGTATGACCTTTTTCATGAACAAAGCCGCACTTGAAAATCTCTATTCGTTCCTGAGATAATAGTTTTTAAACTCAACCTCAATTTATAACGCTGCCAATTTTTTTCATTATTTTGAAAAAATCATGAAAAATCGCATTCTTAAGATTTCTTAATGAAATTTTCGGAACTTATAGCGAAACGTATGATGTTTTTCATGAACAAAGCCGCACTTGAAAATCTCTATTCGTTCCTGAGATAATAGTTTTTGAACTCAACCTCAATTTATAACGTTACCAACTTTTTCATTACTTTTGAAAAAATCATGAAGAATCGAATTCTTAAGATTTCTTAACGAAATTTTCGGAACTTGTAGTGAAACGTATGATCTTTTTCATGAACAAAGCCGCACTTCAAAATCTCTATTCGTTCCCGAGATAATAGTTTTTAAACTCAACCTCAATTTATAACGTTGCCAATTTTTTTCATTATTTTGAGAAAATCATGAAAAATAGAATTCTTAACATCTCTTAATGAAATTTTCAGAACTTATAGCGAAACGTATAACCTTTTTCATGAACAAAGCCGCACTTGAAAATCTCTATTCGTTTCCGAGATAATAGTTTTTGAACTCAACCTCAATTTATAACGTTGCCAATTTTTTTCATTATTTTGAGAAAATCATGAAAAATTGAATTCTTAACATTTCTTAATGAAATTTTCAGAACTTATAGCGAAACGTATAACCTTTTTCATGAACAAAGCCGCACTTGAAAATCTCTATTCGTTCCCGAGATAATAGTTTTTGAACTCAACCTCAATTTATAACGTTGCCAATTTTTTTCATTATTTTGAGAAAATCATGAAAAATTGAATTCTTAACATTTCTTAATGAAATTTTCAGAACTTATGGCGAAACGTATGATCTTTTTCATGAACAAAGCCGCACATGAAAATCTCTATTCGTTCCTGAGATAATAGAGTTTGAACTCAACCTCAATTTATAACGTTACCAACGTTTTTCATTATTTTGAAAAAATCATGAAAAATCGAATTCTTAAGATTTCATAATGAATTTATGGGAACTTATAGCGAAACGTATGACCTTTTTCATGAACAAAGCCGCACTTGAAAATCTCTATTCGTTCCTAAGATAATAGTTTTTGAACTCAACCTCAATTTATAACGTTGCCAATTTTTTTCATTATTTTGAAAAAATTATGAAAAATCGAATTCTTAACATTTCTTAATGAAATTTTCAGAACTTATAGCGAAACATATGATCTTTTTCAGGAACAAAGCCGCACTTGAAAATCTCTATTCGTTCCTAAGATAGTAGTTTTTGAACTCAACCTCAATTAATGACGTTACCAACTTTTTTCGTTATTTTGAAAAAATCATGAAAAACCGAATTCTTAACATTTTTTAATGAAATTTTCGTAACTTATAGCGAAACGTATGATTTTTTCATGACCAAAGCCGCACTTAAAAATCTCTATTCCTTCCTGAAGTAATAAGGTGTAGCAGTCCTCTTAGATTCTACCATCCTTAGTATAAATATAACGCCACGTGGACTGAACACAACGGTGTGAATAGCTCTCAGAATTTGTGTTCATAAAAATTATTAATTCACACAGTTTAATGTGCAAATTAAAAATTTTTCATATATCGAACACTCCCTTCCCTGTATTAATCCGTTAAATCGAGGTTTTACTATAATTATGGTTAAAAATTTAAAATAAAAAATGTATTTAAGATTGATTCAATCGTAAATCCATTAAAATCCGGAATGAAATCAATAAAAAATATGCCGGAACAAATTTTTAATACCATGGATGAAGTTGTGGATAGTTTAAATAAAGTTTTCCATACTAAACAAGGAATTAAGATGCAAGAAACTAGCAAAGTTTCGTCATCTTTGGATACAGAAGTAAGTGCTATTGATTTTAATAAAAAATAAATAAAAATCAAAAACTTTTTCTTAATTAGAGCGATGATAATATACCGTTAAGGATAATGTTGTTATTAATGGATGAAGTATTTGATTTAAAATCGAGAAATCAGTGGTTAAGAAGAAGAATAGTCACGTTACTTCGACAAATAGTCAGAACAATGTTTGGTGATATAGTCAATAGACGTATTTTAGATTATGTTTCTTTAATAACTAGTCCTAAAAATGTAGCTCATTATTTACACGTTTTCAAGTATAAATATTGTTTTTGCACGAATATTTATTAATAAAAAACTTTTTTAGACATTCTTTTTGGCCTAACGGAATGAAAGCGGAAAAGAAACCAGATAGAGATGAAAGTGTTAAATATCGTACAAGAATTGCAGCGAAATCGGCTTTGTTATCATGTTTGTCAGGTAAATAAATCAATAAATAAATTCCATTTTTAATTGAACACATTTATTAGATGAATTAAAACATATAATTGGTTCTGAAACAACAAGAAAGGGCCTATTAACAATATTCGAATTGTTTCAAAAACCAATTTTAAATCGAAGGTTGCTTTATGTTTTATTGGAGGATATAATATGTACGTTATTTCCGGAAAAAGATATCGCAGCTATTTTTCAAAAACTTTACTCGCAATCGAAACGGTACCAAGAGAAACAGAAAGACCTAAATACTCAAAAAAATAGGTGATAATATTTATTTTTTTTTCTACATACGTATTTTTAGTGCCATTATTATTATTATTAGTTAATTGATCGAATAATTATTTCATACGTTATATCATTTATTATTACGTTTTGTTTCGTCTATTTATTACAGAACATTTATTTTTCGAAATATCTATTTTTTCTATGTACTTGGTAAATTTTATTCGTTCCAATTAGTTGTATACAACTTTTATAAAAATAAAAAAAATTATGTGTAAACAAGAAATTTTTAATTCAAAACCCATCTTTTCATAAATAAACATCACATAATCTTTGTTGACGCTGGTTTCCTGTAAAACTTTGTGTGTGGCGTGATTACACTGGCGGCGGTGGAAATACACCAGAACATTTGGAAGTTGAAGATTTTTTATCAAAACACCCCAATGTTATTCAAAACGCATCGCGGTCTGTATATTTGTCACTGTTATTAAACAAACTATGATAACTTAGGTAAAATTTGGATATTATTTGGCAATATGGAGTTTTCAACTTATAATTTTTTTATTATATGTTAGGGTGATTAATCTGTACACGGTAAAAAATAATTAACTCTTTTAAATCTAACATGTTTCCAGGAGGTCCATTCATTTTTCGAGTAAATATTTCAATCGGTTTTTAGATTAGAGCAAATTTTAGAGATTAAATGAATCTATGGTAAAGTGAATTATTAACTCTACGATGAGTGAACACAGATTACATATTAAATCTCGGTAGAGTTGAAATTATAATCTATACAGATTTTACAATGCCCTCGAAATTAGTATATTCTTAATAGAATGCTATGAATCTACGTAGATTTAGAAATATACTCAAAATTAGATTTAGGTATATTCAAATAGAGTTATAAGAAAATAGACAGTGTTCACAAAATAGGTTTATTATTGTAAAAACTGAACAATCGAATAAATAATTGCAATTTATGCTGTCTGAAGATATACTAAGTCGCTATATTTAAGTAAGCATACTACAATTATAAAACAAAATCATATGCAGGTGTTATTTTTAATGCAAAACACTTAAACTACTAACACGAAAACATAAACTAAAATACAAATCCATATTTTAATACCAAATAAAAATCAGCCTCTAATTGAGTTTGCGCTAAATTGAACGGCTCCTTATACATTAGAAGATTAAATCTATAATATTTAAGTCTTCTTTAATAGGAAATTGCACTTTGAATGCATTTAAGATATCCACATACCGTTGAGTACAAACTGAACAACAAGCCTTGCTTTCACATCAACACGTGTTCTAGCAAGAAAGGATAAATAGAGTAAATAATAGAATAAAATTTACTCTAAAAAAACACTATATTTTTTACCGTGTACGTATCTCAAAAATTAATTGTGATTTCGCTATGAAATAAAAAGCAATTTAAAGCAAATTTAATGAACCATAAATAATTTCTTATTTTCCATAAACATGGTTATTATGATTTTTTAATATAATTCTGCATGTTTGATTGTTATAGAAATGAAACATAAATTTTAAAAAATAGTATCTCAAAAACTATTTAAGATATCATCATGAACTAAAGAGCAATTTAAAGTAAATTTATTTGGTATTTAATACACTGAAAATCATTTCTTCGAATCTTCAAATTTTGGGCTTTATGTCACCAAGATGAAATTGCCAAGATGTAGAAGAAATTCAACAAACAATTCAAGTAAGTAAGTCAGCACTTTAAAAAAAGTGCACAAGCACATAAGTTAATATCAACACAAAGACAAATACAGCCACATTGATAAATAAGAATGAAAGAGGATCCTTCAAGATGGAATTCGACGTATAATATTTTTGATCATGTAGTTAAAATACACAGTAACACAGCAATAATAGAATAAACAACACTTCTCCTATAAAACAAGCAATAATATAATAATATTAATATAGTAATAAAAGATTTCACGTTTTGATCTTTTTATATCGCCCGTGTTTCGTGTTTCATAATTTTTGATATAATCTTGCTATTAGACACATTATTTAGAAAAAAATGTACAAACATGCTCTAACTACACACTCTTTCCTAACATAAATTTTACATACCGTATTTTAAATATGCTTCTTACATATTTCTGATTTTACATTTATCAGATACAGTTCAATAAAATCCATTGCATTCGTCTTCTTCATTATATCACACTCACTTTAAGCAGCCGTTCTCCAAATAAAAATTTGAAGTCATAGTTAAAAACCACCAGAAATTACTGATTTAGACACTCTCTTACACTCTTTCTTGCATGTAAAGGTTAAGCAGGTCTTGGTCTTGGTTTATAAAACGTTGTCAAGTCTCGATTTTAACTTATATTTTCTCGAAATTCTCTTTCTTGACATTCAAAACACTCACATAGGAAATATTGGTCACCTTTAACATTTGCATCAATTTCAAATTTTTACAACACTCTTCAAAACTCTAATAAATACTGATATATATAGTGTAGTATCGTACCCAACGTAATCATTGCAAGTATGCAACCAATATCACACTGAATATATTTCAATACGCAAATCGCGTATTGCAATACCAATACTGTGATATTGGTTGCATAGTTGCAATGATGACGTCGGGTACGATAATTAATTAACACACTGTATTTTGATAAATACTAACTAAACATAAATGAAAAATCAACATAACATTAAATATTTTTATATTATTTCACATTTTTTATACACATCATCATTATTTATTTTCATTAACTTCTACGTTAACACCAGATTTCATTAAAACTCTATTTACAGCAATTTCATGTTTACGAATTTTATGTTTCTGCAAATTTTCCGGTTTAAAAAACGATCTTTCACATTCATCACAACTAAACGGCTTCTCATGTACCCTCATATGCTTAAGCAGCCTACACTGTAAAAAGAACGACCTGTTACATTTATGACACGCGAACGGTTTTGGAATTTCAACGGCCGAATTATGTACCCTTTCGTGCACTTTTAAATCGACCAGATTCGAATACGATTTATTACAATTTTGACAAAAATGCTTTTTAGTACCAGTATGAACGTACATGTGCCTTTTTAACCCCGTCGCGCTTACAAACCCCGTACCACATTCGGTGCATAAAAACGGACGTTCAAATGTATGATTTGAACGAATATGCGTTTGTAAATTATCGTTTTGTCCAAACGTTCGCCCGCAATAATTACACGAAAAGGGCAAACGTGAGGAGTGTAAAAAACGATGTCGCGTTAGATTTGATTTAAATGTAAACGATTTTTTACAAACGTCGCATTCGTATGGTTTCATTTTCGAGTGAGTTCTCATGTGTTCTTTTAACCCAGCATATCGAACGAAACCTTTATGGCATACTTCACATTTAAAAGGACGTTCACCTGTGTGTCTACGAATGTGTAATTGTAAAGTACTTTGATTTGCGTATTTTTGACCACAAAAGTGACAACTAAGCATATTCCCTGATTTAATCCGAACATGAGCTTTTAAATGTATGATAAGAGCTTTACGATCAGCAAATTGTTTTTCACAAATGTTACATTGAAGTTTATGTTTTTTGTGACATTGTTTTTCGTGTTCTATTAAATTTGTGTTGGAATCAAAGCTTTGTTTGCAAGTTAAACATATACTTTCAATATCATCTTCTGTTTTAATAGTTACTGTTTGATTTTCTACTGGTTTATCACTTAAATTAAGTTTTTTTAATGGAACTAAAGGGGGTGGAGGTTTTATATCTTCATCTTTTCGGGTAGAAGTGATTTTTATTTCGTTCGTTTTTCCCTTGCTTGCATTACCCAATGGGATTAATGGTGGTGGTTCAACTAAGCTTATAGTTGTATAAATTTCTTCTATGTTATCATTAGCAAGGGTTTTTGATTTTAACTTTTTTAAATCAATTGTAATAACTGAACCATCCTCATTTTCGTAGCCCACAAAGCGATCTTGAACTGAAATATCAGCCACACTAACTGCTTCATCCAAAATATCAGAAAAATACTTTTCTTTCGAACGTTTTTTGACTAAATTTTGTAAAAACATATTACATTTTAATGCTTTCCTTTTAAATATGTAAAATTTTGTTATTAATCTTAAACATTCTATACAAATTTGTTTTGGTAATTGGTCATCCCCGAGCATCTTAAACAATTCAAATATTCAATTTGATTGTTACAAAACATCTAAAAAACAACAAACTTACATCTATTGATGTACAAAATTGTAACATTGGTGGTAGTTTTGTATCAATAACATCTTTTAAGGTTCCTTTATCACTTAAACAACATCTACATACTTTTTCTAAGTTCACTTCCCGCCTTCGAGATCGCCCTTTTTGCTTTTTCTGTTTAGTACTCATTTTTTCTTATTGTTTTTGGAATTATCAAACATTTACAGCATAAACATCCATAACATAAAACGGATCCTTTTGGCAACACTGTTTGTCATTGTCAAAGTGACAATTAATAATTATTAAAAATGATTTATATAAATAAAAAAATAAACAAATTAGTGTATATCATTATAATTATTCATTACAATTATTATAACAACTTATTTTGATAAATAGCAATTTATTAATTTAACATTTATATATCGGTTGGCGACGCTGCTTGTCAACCTGTCATTTTAATAACCCAAAAAAAAAGCATCCTAACCTCAAAATCAAAATTTTTAAAAAACTATGGAGAAACTATATAAAAACATTTGTAGAATATGTTTATTGGAATCAAACGATTTAGAAGATTTATTTCTTATCAACATATCGAAAGAGAATTCAGTGTACTTAGTAAATTTTATAAATCAAATAACATTCTTAAATGTAAAAGAACTTATTTAATATTTTTATTTTTACACCATCAATGTAAATATCTTTTTTAGATAACACAAAATGAAGATGAATTTAACAAAATTTGTTTAAATTGCATCAATAGTTTCTGTAATACTTATAATTTTATACAAATGTGTATAGCGAACGATCAAAAGTTGCAACAAATAATACATTCTAAAAATAATAAGATTCAAGGTGATGGAGATTTTAAAAAATCACAAAAAGAACATAAGTGCAATTATTGTGATAAATTGTTTAAGACAATATCGGATTTAAGAGTACATAAGAAATCATATCATATGGGAAACAACTACATTTGTCAAGTTTGTGGGGAAAAATTTAAATATTCTTATTTATTAGAAAGACACGTTTTTAAACACGAAGATAAAAAGCCCTATGAATGTAACATTTGTAAAAAAGGGTGTTTAACTGCAGAAAGTTTAAAACGGCATGAAAGAATCCATGATATAAACAATATCAAGAAGACTCATTGTTGCCCAATTTGCTCAAAATGTTTTCCATATTCAAGCACATTATTAGAACATATGAAAAACCACACAGGTCATAAACCCTTTTTATGTACTGTTTGTGGAAAGGGTTTTAGACAAAATAGTTCTTTGGGAATCCATATGAGATCTCACAATGGAATTCGACCATATAAATGTGAAATTTGTGAAGATACATTTTCACTAAGAGGTGCTTTAAATGTACACATAAAAAGGCATTCAAATGAAAGACCATTTATATGTGATACATGTGGAATGGCTTTTAAACATTCCACAGATTTAAGAGGACACAAAAATATTCACCTTGGAAAAAGAATTTTGTGCACAGTTTGTGGTAAAAAATTATCAACAACAGGACAATTAACAGTACACATTAGAACACATACGGGAGAAAAACCATTTTCATGTCTGTATTGTTCTAAATGTTTTACTACAAGAAGTATGCTTGTTAAACATGAACGAATTCATACTGGAATCAGACCATATCAGTGCCATATTTGTCATAAAGCATTTAACCAGAGTGGAATTTTAAAGAAACATCTTAAAACTCATAATGGAAAGGGAGAAATTAAAACTGAAATTGGGACCATTGATATAGAAAATGCTGAAATTATTATTGATGATAATAATACTATAGATAATAATGCTAATTTTGATGATAATAAAAGTAATGTAACTTTTTAAGTATTTAATAATAATATTTTAAAATATTTATTTTATTGTAATGTTTTGAATGTGTGATGTATTTCTGTCCAAGATGAAAAAGTGTCAGGTATTGTGATATTTGCACCCTGCTTTATGTAGGCATTTAATGGCTACTATTAAACCTAAAATTCTTGGATCTGGTCGAGTAGCACGTAAATTCAGGATTGTTACGCGATGAGTTTTATGTATCAAATTTCAATATTCGTCATTTGAAATCGAAACCATCAGATATCTGGATTAATAAGATTCCTTCCAAGATCATAGTTTCTGTATTTAGATCATATGGACATATTGACTCATAATGACCTTTCTGTTGTATCGATTTTATTGATGTTAGTAATTCTCTTGGAGAATCGAATGTTACTTTCGCACTGTTTAAGTACCAAAATAAATTATTTACGATTATGGTACCACGATACCAGAGTATCAGTCAAGCCGTGGTCTTCGCAAGAAACTTATCCCAGAGAGCTTACCGAAATACGTATCTTCGCGATTTGGCAACACGGAAAAAAGCGACTCCAGGAATTCCTAGACCACTTAAACTCATAACACCCCATGACCAAGTTTTCAAATTTTACCATTGAAACGAAAGCTGCAAAACAGTTACTTTTCCTGGATGTATTGGTCACTAGAAAGACAGATAAGGGCAGAAAACGAGCAAAAAGGATATGTCACAAAAAGAATTTAAAGAAAAAAAAAGAATTTAAAGAAAAAAAAAGAATTTAAAGAAAAAAAAAAGAATTTGTACAAGATGCACTCCAGAAAAATGGCTACACTGTGTTGAACAGTCATGTTCACGGGAAATGCACACTCAAGGTCAAGCGCTGTTGTGAAATCCGACATGTCGGATGAACATGACTGTACATCTAGCGAGCCACCAAACAACGCAAGCAGAGGGAAGACACAGTAAGTACCCACCCAGCTGGTTTCATCTTCAAAATACATACATCCTACACTACATCCAAAATTGAGGACGGAGTTAGGACGTTGATTTGACAATAAATACTGACTGTGTATTAATGCAACACTTTCCTCGTGTTAAAATTTATTCCTTGTAATATTATTAAATAATAAACTCAATCAGTCAGTTGGCGCACTTAGTAGGATTCAGTAACCTCGAATTTTACTAAAATCAGTTGGATATACGCAGCACTAACTTGTGGTGACTTTTAAGTTTATTGTTATTAGATACAACATCTACGTAGAATCTGTCGATGTTTTTGGATCGTGAAAAAACACTGATCGAATCTTAGGACTACAAAAAAGAAGAATAATTGTTAGCATTGTAAGAATGTTAACTGTTACTTTTATGCTCATATAAGTTTGGTGATGTACAAGCGGTGATTAATCATTCAGATCCGAAGATTAAATGAGCAATATGATACTTTATTACAATTTAAGAAATGAGAATTAATTCAACATTAAAAGGGGGATAACAGGTTTCTAAAAACGAGTTGTGGGTTTTAATGTTAGGCTTGCAAATCGGGCAGGGTCAAAACGATTACTTTACTGAACTCGACAACTAGAGAACGACGTAGGATTTAAAAAAATTGTTGACGAAATGATGCCGATTTTACAAGAAATGTCATATTTATTGATAAAAACATACATAAAAATAGTTGTAATATAGACAACTGTAGATACATCGAAAAACGGCTACGTAGTTTCCTAGGCTGAGTAAGGTGAGAGTGAAGTTGTTGGAGGGGATGAATAGCGTATGGAGAGGTGGTGGGATCCCGAAGGGATGGAAAGTGGGGGTAATTTGCCCAGTATATGAAAAGGGTAATCAGGGAAGTGTAGATAGCTACAGGAGAATTTACCTACTAGACTCGGCATATAAGGTATACACGATGATACTGTTGGGAAGACTGGCGGAGGAGATGGAGTTGGGAGGAATTTTGCTGGATAGGCAGGCAGGCTTTCGGAAGGGAAGGGGACCAATCGATAACGTGTATGTGTTGAAGCATCTGGCAGATAGAGAGCTGGATAAGAAGGTAAGGTAAGGTTTTGATAAGGTGGACAGGGGGAAGTTGTGGGAGGAGGATCCGTGATCCCATCACGGAACACCTAATAGCGGGAGTGAAAGAAATATACATGGAGACTAGAGCTAGGATAAAAGTGGGGGATAAGCTGGACGACGAAGGGACTGAGGCAGGGATGTCCGCTGAGCCCAAGTCTGTTTGTATACGGCGGATTTGGAAGATAGATTGGAGAAAGCAGAGATGGGAGGGTTGGTGGTGGGAGGTAGAAAGGTGCATATGTTAGTATACGTGGATGACATCGTGGTCATGGCGAGAGAGGCGGTGGAGATGAAGGATATGATAAAGACCTTGGAAAGGTATTTTAGGAGGAAGAGGTTGGAAGTGAATGTGTGGAAGACAAAGATGATGAAGTTTTGTAAGGGTGGGAGAAAAAGAACAGAAAACTAGTAATAGGAGGGAAAGGAGATCGAGGAGGTTAGGGAGTATACTTACCTGGGGTATGTGTTTAGGGAGTCTAACAGGGAGGAGTCGCATGTGAAAGCTACGGCAAAAAAGGCGAATAAGGTGATGGTACAAGTATGGGGTTGGGGGGAGAGAGTTTTTGGAAGGAATGTGGCAACGCGGAAGATTATGTTTGAAGGTCTGGTTAGCAGTGTGATGATGTATGGGACAGAGATATGGGGATGGAGGGAGCAGGGAATGCTGGAGGACGTGCAAGCTAGATATTAGAGATGGGTGTTTGGGGCGGCGAGAAAAACATCGGGGTATATAGTGAGGGAATTGGTAAAGCTGGATAAGGTCATAGTGGAGGCGGGCAGGAGGGCAGTGAAATATGAAGAAAGAATAGAAGGGAGGCCAAACTGCGGGATCTTGGTGGCCAGGTTCCGTTGTGGAAACGAGGAAAGAGCTAACAGATACTAGATGGTCGATAAGGAGAGGTGGTGTAGGCTGTGCATGGGAAACGTTAGAACATATGTTAAATGGGTGCAGTGAGTTGAGGGAGGAGGAGATGGACCGAGGGCAGATCTTGGGAGAGGTTGTGAGGGTGAGGAGACAAAGGGATGATGGTGGCGCGGAAGAATAAGGGTTTGTGTGGATAATGATGTACAATGATGTAAAAATTGTAAACAGGTTATTGTAAACAATAAAACTCTTAATAATAAACTTTCCTAGGCTAAGATGATACAACTTAAAAAAAAATTTGAACATCTGTTTATAATGTGGGAGTTATCATACGCACAGCTTGGAAAAATGTAATTTTCAAAAAAAGACGTTTAATCAGCGATTCCTGCACTGTATATTTGTTCATCCTGAAAGTTATTTTCGTTTTGTGTAGCTAATCTGTCTGACAATAAGCTTCTACAAGCTTCTTTAGCCTCATCGGTCATGGAGCGGTCAGCGTAGATAATGCGACGTGAGTCTGCTTCGAGGCAAAACTCAAAGCACGATCTTCCAATTGTTACTTTAGTACATTCGATAATGCTTGTAAGGCCGTCATTAAAATTGCAAGCAGCAATATCGGATGCAATGCCAACTACTTTCTTGCCACTATCAACCGTTTTTGGTACATACCATAGATCATAACACATACAGCGTTGCATTTTAACTTTTTTTTAACAGTAAGATCAAAATACCTAGATACATATTATACATGTAGTCGAGTAAAAATTAAACCCAAAGAGGTTACAGGTAGCTTGGAATTTTCGACTAGTTACAAAAATGAAGTTTCCAGAAAGAAAAACGTTCACCAAATTTTTCTGACAATGGATTTTAGACTCATTTTAGACTAAAATACACTTTAAATGAAAGAAAAACCTTTCTTTTAATTTCAAAGGTGGCATACCAAAAGCATACTTCAATTTACTAATAATGACTGTGTAAGTGGGTATAAATTTACTTTCATTGGTAATAGCAAAACATTTGTAAAGCTACAAACCTATCATCCAACTATTGTACCTACAAAAGAATTAGCCCATTTATCCGGTCCTCTATAAAGTAGCAACAATTACTTGATATTACGAGATAGTACGATCATTTCCGAAATTCAAGAAGCGAAATTCTTTTCAGGTATTCGCAAATGAAGTATTTAGTAATTATAACCTGATTGTGTTCCAGGTGAGAAGAACGTCCACAGAACATTTTGCTTTAGATTGGCATCTATTTATTTTTCCTTTGAAAGATATATTGTGTGCTGGAATTACAAATAAAAGCGCATCTTTTCCAAATTTATAAATTTTGTATCTAATATACCCATTTGGTAATTTAATTTAGTCCCGAGTAACTATGACTATTTCTTATTATATTAGTATTTTCATTGAATATTCAAGATACTGAAAATGGAGATATTGGCACTGCAGAAATTGCAATGGTTACCTAACACATTAGCTTTGGTGTCATCTGAGAGTCATCATAATCCATTATTAGTAGTGCCATTTAGTGTCTCGTGGATATCTATGAAACGACCTTCCTTAAAAATTTGAGATGAGGTACTACTATTGAGGATCTTCCAGTGGAGATACTACCTTAGAATCCAGATTGGAGTATCTTTATCGGCAGTTTATTTAAGATATTGTAGCCTTTATAGATACTGTCATTAAATACCATAAAATCACATAGAAAGGATTTAATAAAAAATCAATAAAGAGAGATATTGTAATTGTATAGAGTATGTGTTGTAATTTATTTTTTGAGCATCCAAACATGAACTGACTTCTTGAAAGGTTTAGTGATGTCTATTATGTAGCATAAAGCGCAAAGATATTTAAAAAAATATATTAATGAAAGCACTTTAAATGAAGTAAAATATTCTGATTTAAATACGATTTTATTTTAAGAGCGTATATTTAAAAAAAATGATTAATAAGTATTTATGAACACATTGTAATTATTGAACATTAATATTTTTACATAATTAATAATTTTTTTCATTGGCACTTCTTGTTGGTGTGAAGTAGGCCGATTTAATGAGAGATTTTAATTCAAAACTTCATAAAAGCATCAAAAATTGTGAATTATATAACAATCTTTTTGTTAACAATTATTAATTAATGTTTTGAACACAGTGCTTTTATAACAAATTTCTTTTTTAACAATTCCTTCTTTAACATTTCCTTTTTTAACATTTTCTTTTTTAACACTTTCTTCTTTAACATTTTTTTTAACAAATTCTTTTAAAATAGTGATGTTAAACCTTTCCTTATTTAGAATTATTTTTTTGATAATTCTTAAAATTAACCCCAACAGTTAACAGATCGGCTTTAGCCGAAACATGTCTTTTATCGATATCCCCGTAAAACTTCTCCAAACACCCATTATTATTTTTGTTAATTTCTTTATTATTAATTCGAAATTTCGACAGAATGTTATGCCCATTAAGAATACTAGCCGTAGTTCCTCCTTTTACGTAATTTCTTCCCTGTCCAGTAGAACTTCTTTGGATAGTCGTTGTAGATTTCGCGGATGTTGTGGTTAAATTAGTATCACCATCACGCTTTGCGCTTCCTTTTGGCTTTCTGTTAACAGAACGTTTTTTATTAGTCCCCGATTTTGAAACGATTTTAGTTCCTTTCGATACCCCTTCCTTATTATTTGACGTCTTCTTCTTGATTTTACTCCCTACTTCGTTTTTTAAAACTGGAACAAAATCAATTCCGTCTTCGCAACTTTTTAAATAGGTCGATTGAAGCTCTTCCATTAAATCTCCGATAACGGGACCGCTGTAACTTGTTACGGTCTCTCTTGGTGTGTAAGATGCATGAACGATGGTGGGTATTTGAGGTGTTGTTGGTGCTTTTAACGCGTATCCATTCCTTTTTGAAATACTTTCGTTTTCTTTTCCTGAATTCTTATGACGTCTCAGACGGTTTTTAAAAATACGTTTTCCCCGAACTGTTAAACTCATGCCTAAATATGCTGGCGGTCTTGGTAGATTTTGTTTGTAAATTAATATAAATCTTCCTGTATCTGCTTTAGGATCTCTTCGTTTATCAACAATAACTTAAAAATTTAAAATAAAGTAAAATTGATTATGTTAAATAATTTTTATTTTACCTTTAACTAAATCTTCAAGACAATGTGGACACATTCGAGATGTTACGCTTGTAGAATGAGACAAATCCGGACTTGAATTAATCTCCAATAACCATGGGCTAAAATCTTCGGCTAAAATAAAATCAGCTCCATATAATTCAAAAGTATTGGGCCTTCTATCCATCGTTTCTTGACAAGCCAACATGGTAGCGATTAAACTTTGTCTCATCCCTGGAAAAATAACGTCTTCCCATTTATTCCCATGTCCGATTTGCTTCAAATAACTTTTAAAAGATTCGCAATCCCACATATTTTCATCTGGTAAAGCTTTATCTCTTTGATTCACGTTCGTATATTTACACTGAACGGCATGGTTAGTTAAATGTAGAGATTCGTGGAAATTTTCTAAACTAAAAATTTGTGAACTGAATCTGAAGTAACATTCGCTAAAAAGTAATATCTTAATGTTTTTTAAGTTATTTTTAAACATTAATTTTTTAAATAAAGTTACCGATACATCCATATTGTTAATGGCTGCACTGAAGTAATAAGAAACCATTGTCGGATATCAAATTTAGTTTTATAAATAATTAAAGGCTTCTCTAAGAAAATAACGAAATCAATCAAAATGTTATTACTTTTTTAAACTTACCAATGTATTTTTGCACTACATATTTCAATTTTAAATTAACCGCTTTACTGACGTCTTGAACATTCCTAACCAGATGTATACCCCTCCCTCTACATTTATTTCCTGGTTTCATAATCCAAATATTTTTCATACCGTCCAAATTAAATTGAGGCCAATATCTAGCGACTTCTTGAAGAGATACTTTTGCAGCCGCATGAAGTATATGCAACGACCACTCTTTAGACTCGAGAAATAATTCCCCTTGGTTCACTGTCCGGTGGAAATTGGTTAAAAATTGTTCCCATTCGTGGTCCCAAACTTTAGGAAAATCTCTATCGATGTCTAAATGTTTTTTCGTAGCGACGAATTCATCCACACGACTCATAGCAAAGTTTACGCAACTTATGGGTACTTTTCCTTCAGGCGATTTTATCGAATATTCATCTTCGGTATCTGCTTTATGAACAAACCATTTTAAAAGACCCATACATGCTGTCAAACGAAAATCGTCGACGAAATTGTGAAAATGATCGGGAAAACCTAAAAAAAAATGTCTAATTTAGCTTAACTTTTTTATTATTAAAAGGTTATAACTTTAATATTATTATATTTAAACCTAAATTATTTGCCAAGATTAGAAAATGTTTATGAATTCAAATTCAAACCTGAGAAGATGTTTAAAAAGCTATTCGCATAGAACAGGCTAGGCAGGCATTTCAAAAATTTAGAAGCGAATCTAAACTTGAGATTGAGGTTCGTGAAATGTTACGTGCTTCTTTATGGAGAGGAAGGGTGAACCTTGAATACAATGCAATAAATAAACTAGAAGAATTTGAAATGTGAACATACCGTAGAATACTGAAAATCCCTTGGACAGAAAAAAGTTGGACAGACAAAATCCCCTAAGAAATGAAGAAGTTAAAACGCAATTAATAAGAAAAAAGCTGCATATTTGGGACGCGTCAATTAATAATTGAGATGGATTGGCAGAACAAAGATTTCCCAGTCCCGAAATCCTGCGAGGAATAAAGAAAAAATGGAAAATGTGATCGCTAACATCAATTAGTGGATAAGCATTGTAAGAAGAAGAAGAAGGAAATGTTCTGTATTTGATTGAAGACACTTTTATTAACACTTTCGGAAATTGTGAGCTTTTCGAAGAAAGAAACAGCTTTTAGTTTTTGAGATATTCATTTTAATTTAATTCGTTTAATTTTTTGAGATACTCATTTAACACAATTATATTCAATCATTTTCAAAAAATCGTAGTAAATCGTACTTTTAATACATTTTTATGAAATTATCAGCATTTGCAATACAAATTATTAGCTTTCCAACGAAAGCAACTGATTTTCCAAATATCTTTTAGTTTTTGAGATATTAATTTTTAAACACAATACCTTTTCGCATTTTTCAGAGTCAACAACTCTTTTCAATCATTTTGAAATAATCACAACAAATTGGAATTTCGATAAATCATTATGAAATTATCCGGATTTGTTATACAGATTCTAAGCTTTTCAATGGAGGAAACGGATGTTCAAATAATCTTTTAGTTTTTGAGATATTAATTATTAAACATAACAAGATATTTTCTCGTTTTTCGAGATAAACAAGTATTTTCAATCATGTTCAAAAAGTCGTAATAAATCGTAGTTTTAATAAATTCTTATGAAGTTATCAGCATTTGTAAAACCAATAATACGCTTTTCAATGAAAGAAACGGAATTTCAAAATATCGTTTAGTTTTTGAGATATTAATTTCGCAAACACAATACGTTTTCCTATTTCAGAGTAAACAACTCTTTTCAATCATTTTGAAATAATCATAATAAATTGGAATTTCGATAAATTATTATGAAATTTTCGGTATTTGTTATATATATTCTAAGCTTTTCAGTGGAGGAAACGGATTTTCTAAAAATCTTTTAGTTTTTGAGATAATAATTATTATACATAACAAAGCATTTTTTCATTATCAGGTCTTCGCTCATTTTAAAAGAATCATAATAACTCGGAATTTTCATAAATCATTATAAAATTATTAGCATTTCTTCTACAAATTGTAAGCTTTCCTATGAAAGAATCGGATTTTCAAAATATCTTTTAATTTTGGAAATATTAACTTTTAAACACAATAAGGCATTTCCTCTTTTTCAATATAAACAATCATTTTCAAAAAATCGTAATAAATCGTAGTTATAATAAATTCTTATCAAATTATAAGCATTTATTCTACAAATTGTAAGCTTTCCAATGAAAGAAACGCATTTTCAAAATATCTTTTAGTTTTTGAGGTATTAATTTTTAAACATAGCAAGACATTTTCTCATTTTTCGGGATAAACAAGTATTTCCAATCGTATTCAAAAAATCGTAATAAATCATACTTTGAATAATTTTTCATGAAATTATCAACATTTGTAATACAAATTATTAGCTTTCCAATGATGGAAACGGATTTTTAAAATATCTTTTAATTTTTGAGATATTAATCTTCAAAAACAATAAGGAATTTTCTTATTTTTTGGATTAAGCAATAAAATTATTGCCAATCGTTTTAAAAAAATCATAATAAATCGGGATTTCAATAAATTATTATGAAATTATCAGCATCTCTAATTCAACATATAGGTTTGCTAATTCCAACGAAAGAAGCGATTTTTCACAATTAGTTTTAGTTCTTAAAATATTGATTTTTAAACATAATACGACATTTTCTCATTTTTCGAATGTACTCAAAAATTTTGGAAAATTTTTAAAAACGCTTAAAATTGATTCTAATCACTATAACGAATACTGAAATATCCAAAACCTAATGTTTGGTTTGCATACCATAAAATTCCCCAATATGATTTCAAAATGCTCTTGTCTCTTTGGAGAAGATGTGCAAAAACATCTTCTCCCTTAATTTGTGGGATTTAAGAATACTTGGAAACATATTGTTACCAAATATAAAAGGAATCCTCTTGGATAAGACACAAAAGCAGCTCAACAAAAGTCGCCCAACTATCTATAAAGAAACTATAGCAACTTACTTTGCAGATTTAGAGTAAAGTCTGGAAGGCGTGAAATATCGGTAATGATCCGGGAAAAGCAATCGCTAGATATAAAAGGAGTACTAGATATCTCGAGAAAGTTGTCAACTATTCCAAAAACAGCATGACAATTAAGATTGAGGGTCTGTTAACGGTATGCTACTACCTTCTATAGCATTTATAAAAGTGAACATCTACATAATACCTGAAGGAAGGGAAGTATTAAAGAGAAACATATTGCAAGAAACCCTGTCTTATTAAAGGATGCAGATTTAACAAATCTTTTACAAGGCTGGTTCTAGATTTGTTTTATGCAACATGCCAGACGACTTGAAGAGAGAAAGATGTTAAGCGGTTATAACTTTACATCACATTTTAACATTACGAACAAAGTTCTAGACAACATTTCTGGAACTTCGTACCAACCCAACCCAAATATCATCGATGCTTTTTTTGAACTGTTACGAGAAAACAATTTTAGGCAAAACACTCCATGAAGGCAATTGAAACGATGAAAGACTAAAGATAGCAACAGTTCAAATTAAGAATACTTGAATGCATCTAACGACGATGAAATACAAGAAGTAAACTATGTTAAACCAACCCTACAATTATTAGTAGAAGATGGAACGAAATATGCAGAAGAAAGAAACCTGATTGGAAGGCCTGAAAATAGGCCAGAAAACAATAAATACACTGACAAAAAAAACATGGTGAAGTGAAGAGGAACTATAAGCAGATGAAAATGTGGGAAAAATAGAGACAGTGATGAAACGGTTCAAGAAAAAGGAAGCTTTTGATGTAAAATGCCTTTTTACCAAAGATATCCAAGTTTGAATACAAAGATACTTTAAAATATCTAGAACTGATATTTTAATTCAGTAGTTATTGGATTTAATTTTTTCATAAACAAATTCTTCTTAAAGATTGACTAAACTGCATACATTAGAAACTGGGACATACTGGGTAGATAAATATTTTTAAAAAAACTTTAAATAGCAAATGCTACTAATAAACTTTTGCTACATCTACTATTATGCTCCCCATAATTTGTTTCTATTTTTACCTAACACGTAACATCTTGGATAATTTACTTGAGCAACACCCGGCTCAATATGCCAATAAAGTTGTTGAAGTAAAAGTGTTAACCCTTCCTTTGATGTAAAAAGTGATCTTCCGAAGCGATTCATTAATTTGTTATGATTGCAACGATGTTGCCAATCGCTTTGGTCTTTTCTCATATTCCAATATAAATCGCAATCGTGTACTTGCAGGAGTCTCGACATGACCGTTCTTTCGCATTTTTCCATATGAACTTTTTGGCTTTCCCATGCTTGTCTACTTGGAAGATTAACGCAAAGATCATCTAAATTTTGCGGCAGTTGTGGTTGTATTCCCGGTTTTTTTGGTGCCGTTTCGTATTTTTCTATCCAACCCCTTCTGTGTAAAGCTCCACGAAGAATTTGCCAACCTCCTATTAATTAAAAAAAATCTGTTTATAAATAATAAAATGATAAATTATAATTTTATAAGGGACACAAAAATATGATTGTTTTCTTACCTTTAATAGTAAAAATTCTGTGATCATTAACAGCTTCATCAACAAGTTTTTTAAGTTGCGCTAATCTTTCGGAAGAAATATTAATTTTGTATTTACTTGGCTCAACGTATTTTGGACATATATTATCGACAAGTTGTTGAGGAGTTGGTGCGACGATATGCGTTGATTTTCGTGGCGAGAGCAGCTTTGGCGATTGCTTCGTCGTTTGACCAACGTCGGAATTATTGTCCATGCTGACGTTGTGATAAGCGTTGCTCTGACTCTTTTGACATTTGTCACATTTCTCATCCATCATGTGCTCATCATTCTGTCGGTTTTCAAAACACCAAAATAGACTTCTTGTTTCATCCGCTCTTAGTTCATGACTAAAACCAAATCGGTTTGGTTATCGTATTACTTGTGCAACTCCACTTCCACCGTCGTTTTTGACCTAAATTGGACTTCCTTTGACCTGGATTTTGTAATGGGGTGTCGGTACCGGTCTCGGCGGGTTACCATCCGAACCCACCTGTCACCTGCACCCTACTTTTATGCCGCAATCGTTTCCCTCGACAACAACGTTCAAAATGAACGCGACACGAACGTGCCGCGATAATTGTTAAGTAATCGTTTCGTGTGATCTCCTTTTTAAGGGGTGTCTATCATTTTAAGCATCAACAGTTTATGTATAAGTGGAAATTGGATTAGGTTTTGTAAAAATGAAAGGTATAAAAATGTAACCGGCGACGACACCAAAATTTAAATGAAATATGTATTGATATGAAGATATATAGTAGACGCCACGAGAGCTGGCAGTAAATCATCGTTTTCCGCCCTTACAAAAGCCATACGTAGTTCACAAACCGCTAGAGAGTAATGTGTGTTAGAAAGAGATAGCATTAGTTTAATATGCCTGCCGTACAATTCAAATGGCCACGTCGAAAAAGTACGTCTGTTCTTCTAAGGGATGTAACTCTATAATTATAACCTCAAATCGAAACGTCTTGTGAGCGTTGTCATGAATCTGTTAGTGTTTTCACAAGCCGAAAACGTTTTCTATGAAAGGCAAATCATTAAATAATATCTTTGACAATGTTTGACATATAACCTCCATTACTAACATAACCTACATTTAAATGTATGTGGTGAAATAATCTAAGTCGTATGTCCATATCTTGATTCATACCATTTTTAAGCGATCTGTCACTGCCAGCTCTCGTGGTTTCGACTATATCTAATAACAAAAATATGTATACAGGGTGTTTCATTAATAATGGGATATATTTTACGTGTCAAATAATGACCATTGTCCAAAAATAGCCTTATTCAAAATCGCACCGTTTTCGAGATGAAGGTCTTCAAAGTTCCAGAAAGAAAAATCGTTTTTTCCATTTTTAAAAAATTTAAAAAAATTAGAATCGTCATTTTAGCACAATTTTTCGATTCTTTAATACTTCCTATGTAAACAACATACTATGTAAAATGGAGGAAATGGTTAAAAACTTCTTTAACTTGCTTAAAATTTTTTATTTAATATAAAGTTGTATCGATTTCGGGAAACACTCCCATCATCAGCGAGAAGCTGTGTACAAAAACAAAAATTAATGTAAATTTGAATCACAATTACTTAAATTAATTGAGAACCAATAGTATAAAAAAGGAAGGAATATACGTTTCATACAGAAAATATAATAACTTACTGTCAATAAGTATGTAATGCACGAAAATCACACGAGAAATACTACAAAACATATGCGGGAAGTGGCGTTATTCAGAGTACAACACGTGCTATTGAAATGATGGACAATTTTTTCGAATTTTTCAATTTTCGCCAATTAAGTTTTAAAATTAAACTAAAATTAGAACTAACACTAGAAACTTTCGGGTTTTGCCGTGCGTCTTTAAAGAAAAGGTTTGACGTTTCGGATGCCATGTTGCAACCTTCTTCAAAAACTGGTTAGAAGTGAAGGTTCTGAAGAAGGTTGCAACATGGCATCCGAAACGTCAAACCTTTTCTTAAAAGATTGAGATCGTACAAGTGCGATTTTGAATAAGGCTATTTTTGGTCAATGGTCATTATTTGACACGTAGTAACTGCACTTTAAATATTTCCCATTATTAATGAAACACCCTGTATAGATAATTCACTTTTAGTTTTCAAAATTAATTTTTCGATTTTTTTGAAGTTTATAAATAATCATTTTTTTGGAAACATTATCAAATTATCTATTAAAGCATCCACCCCTCAGTGCTGAAGGCCATTTCTAAAAATCATTTTTGGTTTTTGTGATATACATTGTTTGAATCAAAACATGGATTTTTTATATGTTGATGGTTTTGACCCTATGGTAAAACGGATATCCGTCAACTATCCGGCTTTGGCGGGATATTAAAAACCTATTACTTAGTACTCCACCATTCGCAGGAATCAGTATCTCTTTTAGGTGTTGGACATTGCAGATAATAATCAAGTTCAACCCCATTAGGACTTTTTTCATTGAATACAACTTTATTTATATCAGGTTTGTCTTTAGCAACCTTATTGTAACAATCCCAATACGGTATATAAAATCTCTAGTTTCGTCTAGTTTCCTTCTCTTCGCTTGTAATTCATCACATTCATTACTAGCAGAACTGCCGCTATTATCACTTTCGATTATTAACTAAAGTCCTCTTCTTAATGCAAAAAGCCGTTTTGAAAAATCACTTTCAGTTCTTGAGAAATAAATTTTTGAAATGATGGACAATTTTTTCGAATTTTTCAATTTTCGTCGATTAAGTTTTAAAAATTCGCATAAAATCCAGTTCTTGGAATATGAGTATGAAAATTTCCCAAAGTGTTAATAAGAGTGTCCTCTTTCCAATGAACCAACACGTTTTGAGAAATAACTTTTAGTTTTTGAGAAAACAATATTTGAAGTTTTGATGAAATTTTCGATGTTGCAATTTTCATCGATAATTTTCAAAATTTGCTATCAAATTAATTTCTTGAAGGATCCTTGTGCAAATATCACCAATTATTAATTAAAGTATCCTCTTTTTAATGCAAAAAGCAGTTTTGAAAAATCACTTTTACTTCTTGAGAAATAAATTTTTGAATTAATCGACAATTTTTTCGAATTTTGCAATTTTCGCCGATTAAGTTTTAACAATTCGTATAAAATCAACTTCTTGGAATATGAGTATGAAAATTTCCCAAAGTGTTAATAAGAGTGTTTTCTTTCCAATGACCCAACAAGTTTTGAAAAATAACTTTTAGTTTTTGAGAAAACAATATTTGAAGTTTTGATAACATTTTCGATGTGTTTTTTAAAAATAAACAATGTTTATACTCCAATATATTTTATAAATCTATTAACTCTACCGGTTTCGACCTAGACCATCGTCAGGAGTCTCGTTGTATAAGGTTGAGGTTATATGTTTCACTTGACACATCTGCGACATCCGTATTCTCGTTTTCTAAGTTTAGTTCATTAATGATATATAAAAATTTGAATGTAATTAAATGTAAATTTGAATGTGTTTCCTAACCTCAACCTTATACAACGAGACTCCTGACGATGGTCTAGGCCGAAACCGGTAGGGTTAATAAATTTATAAAATATATTGGAGTATAAACATCGTTTATTTAAAAAAAAAACACATATAATATACCAATATGGATGAAAACCCATTTACCTAAAATTTTCGACGTTACAATTTTCATCGATAATTTTCAAAATTCGCTATAAAATTAATTTCTTGAAGGATCCTTGTGGAAATATCACCAATTATTAATTAAAGTATCCTCTTTTTAAGTCAAAAAGCCGTTTTGAAAAATCACTTTTAGTTCTTGAGAAATAAATTTTTGAAATAATCGGCAATTTTTTCAAATTTTGCAATTTTCGCCGATTAAGTTTTAAAAATTCGCATTAAATCCATTTCTTGGAATATGAGTATGAAAATTTCCCAAAGTGTTAATAAAAGTGTCCTCTTTCCAATGAACCAACCCGTTTTGAAAAATAACTTTTAGTTTTTGAGAAAACAATATTTGAAGTTTTGATAAAATTTTCGATGTTGCAATTTTCATCGATAATTTTCAAAATTCGCTATAAAATTAATTTCTTGAAGGATCCTTGTGGAAATATCACCAATTATTAATTAAAGTATCCTCTTTTTAATGCAAAAAGCCGTTTTGAAAAATCACTTTTAGTTCTTGAGAAATAAAGTTTTGAATTAATCGGCAATTTTTTCGAATTTTGCAATTTTCGCCGATTAAGTTTTAAAAATTCGTATTAAATCCATTTCTTGGAATATGAGTATGAAAATTTCCCAAAGTGTTAATAAAAGTATCCTCTTTCTAATGAACCAACCTATTTTTAAAAATTACTTTTAGTTTTTGAGAAAATAATATTTGAACTTTTTAATAAAATTTTCGATGTTACAATTTTCATCGACAACTTGCAAAATTTACTATAAAATTAATTTCTTGAAGGATCCTTGTGGAAATATAACCAATTATTAATTAAAGTATGGTCTTTTAATACAAAAAGCCGTTTTGAAAAATCACAAATATCGCAATAATTTGGCAATGTACCAAAAATTATAACTATAATGGCATATAACTATAATTATAGATATGCCGGTTTTGATAGATAAAAATAGAAATGAAATACTAATTTAAAATTTTTTATAGTATCAATCACACTATCTACAGTGTGTCCCCGGATAGGTGAAACGACTCTTATAAAATGTAAAATTTTTCGATATTAATTGTCATTTTTTGGGGTTGGGTTGGGTTGGCTTGGTTAATTTTTAACATATTTTCAAGTTTCAAAAACTGAAGAGTTTTATCACATCATTTTTACGAAAAGTAGTTACATGTTAACTCTCGTAACATGGCTAGGGTTGATCTACGATGAATGAGAAAAAACACTTACTAATATTTTTGAATGCACTACAAGTAAATCGATAGGTTTACGAGAAAATAGGGGTTGTTTGCCCCTTTTAACCCTCTGGTATATGTGTGATACATCAAAAGAAAGCTCTTTTAAAATGAATATCAGTTACTATTTACGAAATTTTGATAGCATTTTTCGTTTTCAAAATATAAGTGAAAACGTACTTTTTCTCCAAACTTTCAACCCTTATAATTCGCCCCAACCGTACGTATAAAAAAATGTGCTAACCTTATTTTGGCCCATTCTATGAGTGTACCAAATTTCATCGAAATCAGGCTCAGAAACTACAGACTTTTGAACCAAAACAAACCTAATGTTCTTATTGTTTCAGAATCCGATGAGGGTGATGATAACGTTGAAAATGAAATAAAGACTTATCGCTGTGCCTACATTTGATGAAGCTTATTTATCTCTTAGAAAGCTTGAAACCTTTGTATTATCAAGAGAGAGTGTTCCAGGTAATATTCATAATTCTTTACATTTAATAGAAGATTTTTTCGACAAAGAGCGGTTTTCCACTTTAAACCAAAAGAAAATTAGGGATTACTTTAAAAAACTTGATTAATTTTCTACTTACAATAGTATTAAGGTTTTTGTTTGAAATATACGTATTAGAAAAGTACATTTCTATTTTTTTTCTTTAGAGCTGAAATTCTAGTAATTTTTCTCTGACTCGAATTCTCCATAACTCGAAGTTTTTTTCAGCTCTCTCTATTTATATATATAAAGTTAAAATCTAAAAAAAAGTTTCCTTAAATTTTGATAAAACTACTGTTGACAACTGGTAAACTTTTCGGCTTATTTACAAGATGTAATTATTTTACAAAAAGTAGACTTTCTACAAGT